CTTTCTTCTCGACTGAGGTAAAATAAAGAGGATATAAGAAGGGAATAGATTAAAATGGTTATATCTCTAATCATAAGAAATACAAAGGGTCAGGAATCCAGTAAAATGTAGATGAGCAGACTCACTCATTTTCAGGCCAAAATCCCCTATTCAAAACTGTAAGGGTCAAATGAGTTGAAGTAGGCAGGGGAAATACACAGTCAGTCTCACAAGAAGGAAATATAAACCAACTTCACTGCCATCTTTATTCTCTTCAGTAATTAATAAAACCCCTCACTATAACTCTTTTTTCTTTAGCTTGCTTTGAAAATGTAATGGTTCCAAAATATTTGTCTGAATTCTAGGGAAGCATATCCGGGTAAAGATCCCTTATACTCATTATGGAAAATATCTGACTACTGACAAAAGGATCCAAGTTACTGCTTTGTGTGAAGTCATGCGCACACACGGGCTGAAGCTGCTGGTGGAGAAGACAATCATTTTAGAGGACACAAACATCATCATTAAGGTGAACAATTTTCTCCCTGATGTTCTGAACATATGCTAAAAGGTCTTTCTGGAGCTCAGATCTTAAGATAAGAACCTGGGGATAAATGTATTCCTTTTAGGCTGCCATTCCAGATGTTGTTCCAAAATTCTGCCTGCTTGAATTGAGAATGCAAGGATGTGAGAGGCTGGGTCTGAACCTTGGCCTGAATCTGGCCTGGTTTTCAGAACAGCTCTGTTACCTTCTTTTTTTCCCAGTCACAAGCCACTGCCTTATGTTCCACAGGACTTGTTTTCATTCCATGTATTGGCAAGTGCTTGTGTTGTCCTTAAAGAACTTTGCCAAAATGCAGAATTAAACCCTTAATTCTAACCAGTGCTAGAGCCAGTACATACCGTTTTACACATTAATCCTAATCAGTGATGTGCCAAAAAAGGGGAAAAAGCCACTCAGCAACCAAAATATCAGACAGATTTCATGGGACATGTGTGTGTGTAGCCAGGGCTCTATTTCACTGAAATGATGCACAAAATACAGCAGACAGCTGGACAGCCCTATTGAGCCAAGCCAGCTTCAAACATTAGGAGAGCTAATGCTTGCCAGCTAAATGCCACTTGCAGCTCCACTGAATTCTGACTCCAGACAGTGATCAGAACGTGTTTTGTCCTGCAGCTGCCCCGGAGAGTCGTGGTGAACAGAGCTGTGTCTCTGGAGATCTCCTACGCCAACCCCCTCCCGGAGCCCGTGAGCCGCTGCGTGCTGCTGGTGACTCTGATGAACCAACAGGTCAAGATAAAGTAAGTGCAAGCTGCAGCCATCACTCACTGCTTCCTGTGACCAACAGCATGTCTAATTCCTCAAAAGAAAGAAGGAAAAAAAAAAACCCCACACTTGACCTGGATTTTTTATGTTTTCTATTTCTGAAAACAAAAATGCCACCAAATGTGATTGGGAGAATATAGATATATAGAATATAGATATATGAGAACAGAGATGTGATTCCTTAATCATTTGGTGCTTTTTCTACATAGAACTTCTTTAACAACTCAAACCTGATAGCATTCTTCTTTCCTGGGAAAGCAAATGTTCATGTCAAATTCTTTTGTTTCTCTGCAATTTATTCTATGGTTTGGCTTTCTGTTTTTATTTTCATATACAATACCCTGATACTACAAAGATAATTAGGCTAAAGCAAATAAGTCAGACACTCCCCTTGGTTCAGCCCAAACAAAAAGTTGCTCTGTTCTCCTTTAAAGCAGGAAAAAACTTGCCTTTTCAAAACATAAAAGCAAATTGTTCTTTTTTTTCCCTTTTCTTCTGGGCTCTCCTGCTTTATGGATCAGCTCAGCACTGAGTAATAGTTTGTATTTCCTAAAGCTTCTTATACTGTAAAACAGCCTAACTTGCTTTGGCTGTGGAACTGTTTGGACTTAATAATCCATAAAAAAAAAACCCAACATTATTCCAGTAAAAGACAAAGCCAATTTAGGCCAAAAGGAGATATAAACCAAAGCACAATGGCCATTAGAAAAGTTATTATTGCCAAAATGGATATGAACCAGGCAGGCATTGGAGAGTACTGACCTTTGCCATCAGAGTTTTTCTGTTCTGAGTTTGTGCTGACTATCCAAATTTGCAGCCAGCCCTAAGACGGAGCTGTGACATTGCACCTCTCTTCTCCATAATTCCACTGGAGAGTAAAGGAGGATGGTGCTGTCCTTTCTCATCTTAGTCTACACAAAGCCTCAAAACTCAAGGCTGGGTCTTAAGTAACTACAGTTCTGTTTCTTGGGAATCTCATAAAAGACAATGCAAGCCTGAACTAAATTCTTTTTTTTCTTTTCCTATTTTTTTTTTCAGTTTGGCACCACTGGCACCGAGGGAGAGATCAAGAATTTATTTTGAGTTCACACCTCGGAGGGTTGGGCCCTTACAGCTGCAAGTAGACTTCTCTTGTGACAAATTTTCACACGTTAAGGGATTTGTAACAATTGCAGTAGCACCTGCATAATGTGATGGAATCAACCTTCCATTTCAGCATAAACACAGCAAGACACTCTCCTCTGTATAGGGACAGTGATGACAGAAAAGAACTTTGCACAAAAATTGGTGACCTCTTACATTGCAATAGAATCAAGTCTGCTTCATGGTGCTTAATTATTCAGTCTCTAATTGTACTTCTCTTCCCTCCCACCCCCCGACAAAACAAAAAAATGGAGTCCCTTCGTTGTAGAAATAGTTTCAGGATTTTCAAATCCCATTCTATTAAGATCCCAGTTTTGACTTTTCCCTCAGATAATTAATACAATCTCCTTTTGACCACATTCTAATTGTCAGCAATAAATAAAAATCATTCTCAACTGTATTGTTTTAAAATGATTTATACATTCCATGGGGGTATTACAAGAAATCACAAGACTGAGGAAAAGGTTATTTTTTTTTTCATTTCACAAGCCACTAACCTAGAAGAGCAGAACATTTCCTCCATTGTTCACTTAAGTTCTGTATTTGTGATGCCTATAGTTCCACAAATAGAGAGGGAAAAAGCCTGGGAAGGCTGGGAAAAGTGATGCTTGGGGTCCATGGCAGTATTGGTGTAGCCTGTGGGCACAGGCCTGTCACAGGGTGGAGAACACATACACATATTCAAAACATTAGCTTACTTCTGATGCAGCCTGACAGAATAAATAAAGCACAGAGAGGATTTTGCAATAACGTGGCAGCCCAGCAACACAGAGAAATAACTCTTCTTGCCCACCAATGTAAGGTCACTGAGGACAAGGAATACATTTACTTTTTGAAGATCTTCAGACCTTCCCCGTGTGGCTCAGTCAGAGGCAGCCCCACACCTGTCAGTGTCTGCAGACACAAATCTCTTTTGTGGGTTCCCAATCCCAGCATTTCCAGGTACCAGGTCCCCTCTGAAACCCATCTTTGAGTGGCTGTGAGGATTCCCTGTCCCTGGAGCTGCCAGCTCACCCTCAGAGCAGGATGTGGGTCAATCGTGGTGTGCAAACAACTCTGCTGAGCCTGAAGAGTTCTGTTTGCTGTGTGACTTACAAAAAGTTTAAAGCAGAATTAATAAGCTGAAAGAGAGCTGTCAGGAGTTATGGACCTGGGCATTTTTGTCTTACAGTTGATCAGAGTCTGAGGGATCCAGATATAATCACAGATTTTTACAGAAAAAAAACCCAAAACAACAACACACAAGAAACCATAAAAAAAAACCCCTTTAGATTCCCTTTCTAAAAATATATATTTAAACTGCAGGCAATTAATTCACCTTTTTGGTTCCCAGAAATCTTGATATGGAAGTGGAAACAAAGCAGAAAACAGAACTGAAAAAAAAAGACAGAAGGCAGAATGTAGATGTGAGGAAAATAAGAGATCATCCCTTCTCCTGACACCCCTTACTCCTCATTCCAGTCCACTGGAAGTCCAGAGCAGCCTGCAGCCTACTCTTGGGACAAATTGTCAGGACATGTTTTTAGATAAGCTGCTGCACAGGATGAGGGAGGAGAGGGCAGGAGGGAGCTGCAGGAGCAGAGAGTGCCTGTAATTACCTGGGCAGGGCTCACACCAGAAGAGCAGCTCTGCAGCTTCCTCCAGGGCCCAACCAACCTTGCCGTGCCAAACAGCTACAGAGAAACTATGTGCATGTGTGATGAGCACCAAACTACAAAGAAAAATTATTAGAAGCAGAGGCAGCCATTAAACACTTCTCTTTACTTAACACAGGTCCCTGATCACAGTTGTGCTGACTGCACAATGCCCCCTCCCTGGCAAGTGTTCCTCCTTACAGAAAAAAATGCACATTATAGGCAATCATGTCAGAAAGAGGTAGTGATGAGAAGGAAGCATTATTAGAGTAATGTTGTGGCAAAGACAGAACAAATTATATGAAGTTATGAGGAAGATCTTCTGACAGATGTCTTTAAAAAAAAAAAAGAAAAAGCGGGGAGAAACGCTACTAGCAGTAACATTAATTATTATAAATCTACTTAGATCACTCCATGTCCCACATAGATGTGCTGTACCATAGGTATATTAGTCTACACTTGCTCTCTGGACATACAGCCCCAAAAACCTAAATTGGCACAAACCAAACCACCTAAAATTAAGTTGTTCCTGTCTACTTAAGATAATATTTCCTTCTATTTCCTCCTATCAGACCAAATTTCAGACATTTGAAAAGGCTTTCCTCTCTAAAACCCCAGAATACTGATTATCATCTTTCCTCAGTCATTCACCAGTTTTACATAAGGATAATTGGATTCAATATTGTGCAATTAAAGCAGTCATCAGTGGATGCTCACGTAGGATATCACTACAAAAACAGTGGCTACCAACCACAAGTCACACCCAGCTTGTATAAACTCCAGCCTATGTAGCCAAGTACAGTCCGGAGCCTTTCATTACTGGTGCTGGTGGAAGAGGATTTAGAATGTTCTTGCACACTTTTGTGACTGTAACCTGAGCTACGCACAAGTGTGGAAAAGAAGAAAGAATCCTTATGGAAGGTAAGTTCATCCAGCCTGATGGCTCCAGACATCACTCTTCCCATCCAGATGAGCAATATTTTGCTGAGGAAACAAGATAAATTACATCTAGCTGCTCTTTCAGGAACTTTGCTTTTTTAGATTAAGTGCATTTATTGTTTTTTTCTACTAGAACTAATTTTCTTTTTTCTTTTATTATCAGGTGTCTTGAACTTTTTTATTTTTCCAGTAACACAGAAAAGTAGAGTAAGAAAATATTTTTCTGTCGTATCAATTAACTGCTCTATTCAGTGCTTTGGCAGCCATCTAACTAACTATTGGCTAGTGATTGGGGCATCAAACTGCTACACACAAACCCCAGGCTCCAAGATCCAAGTCTGGCCTCAGCCAGGGGGCCTCTGGACTCCCAAGAGGAGCTCTGCCAGCTGAGTGCTGCTTGTCTGTCTGGGATTGCACTTGCTGTGCTCACTCTCATGCTGACTGTAAAGATCTTGAGTTAGACACGTGTACCATGATTCCATGGTACTCACACACAGACTCTACAGTTCAGCCTAAACTGGATTTCCTGTTAGAGCTTCAGCTTCCAGTCAAAGGCAAAGAGAACCCTGTGAGCACCATGGTCAGCATCTTCACCAGGCTTTTCCTTCTGAGCATGCTCCATTACAGAAGGGACACCCAAACAAATTTTTGGCCAACTGTACATTGACAGAATTATAGAAAATAAGTTTTCCTCACAGGCACTGAAAGAAGAAAAAGAAATTATAAGATTGAAATTGAAACTATGAAGATCAAAACGAGGATAAATTTGAGATTCACGTGGACAGAAGACTGGCATCAAGCTCTTGCCCCATATACAGAACTTTCCTTTCTGATCTCCTGCACGTATTCTCTAGAAATGCATGTGCAGCCATGAACTTTGCAAGGCAAATCAAACTATTGATGCAGTAAATTGTTAGAGCAAACCAAAGCTAGCCACTGCCTTCTTTATCTTTCCTACTTCTGCTCACTTCCCCTCTTCTTCTTGGACATCTTGTCTTTGCCTGTGACATTTCACTCTGACAGTCTTTAGCAGCACTATTTAGGTCCTTTAACATCAGAGCCTCGCTAATATCAAGGCCGTGGCTCAGCTGCCATGAAATCCTCTATGCATGACATTTTTATTTATAAATGTGCAAAATGCTCTCAGTTTCCTGCATCCCTGCACAACAGGTGGTGCTCCCTGCCCCGCAGAGCCTGGGCATTCAGGATACACATGGATAAATTGCAGCAAGGCAAACTGACTCCTTCTCAAACCCTGACTCCAAGTGCCCTTCAGAAACACCTCCTAAGTATTAAATTAGAGGACTTGATATTAGGAATGATGTTTTCCAGAGGTCCCTTTCAATTAAACGTGTTTGAGGCAGGAAAATGAAGTGATGATGCAAGCAACACGCTTTCCAGGCATTTCACATCATGTGACTCAAACATCAAACTCCTGCCAATGGAATTTTGGTCTCCAGGTGACACATCTGAAGCAAGACCCTTAACTAAAAACACTCACACATGCTTATGCACACAGACTACAGGAAAGCCACTTGCTCCAGGCCTTTACTGCCTGGAGTATGCCTCAGGAATGCACATTTCTTCCAAAAAGCTGAAAAATGGGTACAATTACACCTTTATCAAGCCTTCATAGAATATAACTCCATGCTGCAAATGCAGCAGAAAACTGAAATCTCACCCTGTCTATTATTATAGTAGAACCTTATCAATTGTCTCAGACATCTTGGTTCAGTGAAATGATGGAAATGTTGCTTACAGCACCATTATTCTGCACAGGCTTAACAAGCTCTAGTCAGAGCAGGAGGTTTTCTTCACCTGAAATTCCTCTGGAATATCATACTGGGAAAGGGCACTTCCCAAACACCTGTTCTCATAGGGGAATCTGCATTTTTTGCTTTGTTTTTGTTTTTTTTTTTGTCATTGTGGGGATTTTTTAATCTATCAAGGAAAGAGAAAGCTTGAAGCTTTTGTAATCTGAGCTTCAGTGCCCCATTTTCAACATTGGGCAACCTATCATGATATAACAGAGCAATCCATAGCACTGCCTCGAGATATGCCACTCCTCTGCTTGTAATCTTTTTCCAGCAGAGTGTCAAATAACACCCAGCTTCAAGCTACAAGCCTGTAAATTAATTTAGATACAAGATACGTGAGAAGATAACAAGCAAGCTCCACACTGAAGATACCAACCTTCTAACCATCATCTGTCAGGCAGTGTTTCCAGAATCAGCCTTGCATTTCCTGATGAGAGTTTTAATATTTCTTTCTGTAAATCTGTAAAGCATTATGGAAACTAGATATCACCACAGAATAAGAGCAGGAACACATGGAATACAACAGTCTCTTCAGACTTTTACAAAATCTTACCTGAACACAAATATTTTGACTTTTTTTGTTTAAATCAAAGATGAATCTCTGAATTTTGAATTTTTGAATGTTTTTTTTTTCTCTTTCTGAAAGAACCCTACAGAAAAGGGTTCATCTTTCAGCTGTTTTTCTCCCTGGCCTTTTTTTAATTTTTAATAATAATGGATTTTTTCTTTTTTCCTATAGCACATAATACCAGCTATATATAAATATAATAAAATTAGTACATTAGACAAAATGAAAAGGTGTGCAAGTCTGAAGGAAAATATTTTTAATTAACATGTCTTGTGTCTTTCTAGCCCTAAAAATAGGAAAAGTCAACTGGCAACCCAAACTAAATAAAGCTGCACACCACACCTCTGATTACAGCAGCACAGAAGTAATCTTGAGGAGAGGGCAGCCCTTCAACATCTCTCTGAACCTCAAAACAACAGCACAATCTTGGGACAACTTCACCTTTATTGCAAGCACAGGTAATCTCCCCATGGCAGCAATCTCATATCCAGGTTAATTCAGCTCCAAAATACTTGTGCCTTACAGGTCTACATGGCCCATGAAACATTAAACTTTGTCCTGTTTCACTCAGGATTTCTCGTCATTTTAGTCTTAGGAGTTCCCATTTTAAAGTTTGATCTATACCTTAAGACAAGAGACAGTTAAGGTAATAATTAAAAGAAAGGCAGGAGCCATCCTCATTCCAAAACCAAGGCTGGATCTCTGCTCTAAGGACATCCCTGTAACACTGCATGTTATCTTCATTCTGGCCCCCAAACCTGATTCACCTCTACCTCTCACAAAGCACCATCCACTCCCTCCGGCAGGACCATCTCCAGCAGAATCCCAGCAGACCAAGGCCATATTTTCCCTTTCTGAGGAGGGTGCCAGTGGCTGGAGTGCAACCCAAGAGCCCAGTGAGCCTCGCTGCCTGAACTTCACCATCCTCAGCCCAGCCGATGCTGTCATCGGACGATACAAACTCCAGCTCCAGCTCCTTGCTGGGAACAAGATCTCCTCCAAAGTCCTGGGCCAGTTTGTGCTGCTTTTCAACCCCTGGTGTCCAGGTATGCTCGGATGTATCACATCCTTCAAATAACTCCTTGTTTCAGCCTGGAAATCTGGGTGTCACAATAAAGTCTGACAGTCACAGCTACGGAAAGATGTTTTTTGCTCAGCAACAAGGATCAAGTTTTTGTCCCTTCTTCAGTGTTGCAAGGCATCAAAGACCCAGACTCCTGCTTGTAGGATAAGAAATCAAAGGCAGCAAATATTCCAAATATCCATTCTATATTTTTTTTCCTCTGATTTTTCCTCTGATTCTTGCATTCAGTTGTAAAAGAAGTAACATGTGCCAGTGAGACAAATTCTGCGAAGGGACAGGAACACAGCTCCTCATTTCATTCTTATTTTACTCACTCTCTAAATGGTTACAGAGGTGTAGCAGAGAGTCCTAAGCCTGAATGCCTGGGAAGTCTCGCCTGATCCCTAGAACTGCCCTCTATTTGAGATTTTCAGTTACAGCAAAACAATTTCCCTCCAGCCATCACGTCTCATTCTGCTTGTAGATGATGATGTCTACATGGCTGATGAAAAGGAGCGGCAGGAGTATGTTCTGAATGACAGTGGAATCATATTTCAGGGAGTGGAGAAAGATATTCAAGAAGAAGCTTGGAACTATGGACAGGTAAACAGCACCACCTCTTCCAGAACTTTCAAAATAAGAATAATGGATAAATAGGCTCTTGAAGAGAAAAAAATAATTCTCTCCTAGTATAATAGTTCAATATTCCTCACTCACTTCAGATTTTCTTGCAGATACATATCTCATTTATCATTACATTACAGACAGCATCATCAGGCTCATTTCCCCCATGTGGCATGTGCTCATACAGAAATAAAAGAAACAAAACCTATTTTTAGTTTTCCTTTGCCTGTTACACAAACTGGTAAAACTGGACTTGTTTTCTTGGCCATTGTAGAGAGCAAAGAAAGCCACTGCGTATTGCAAAGCCAGTGCATGTAAATATTTATGCAATCTGTTCAGTAATGGGGCAGAAGACACAAAAAGGATACCCCAAATGTACTCAACTGAAACAACTCGTGTTGGAATTTTTGAAAGTCAGCCTGGCCCTCCAAGTCAGAACTACAGCCCATCTCCAGTCATGCAGCCATCCTGCAACTGCCCAGGCCAGCCAGAACCATTCCTGGCCACTTCAGGCCCTCCAACTGCACCAGCATTTGCAGACAGCATTTCTATTGATCCTCCTGAACCCATGGCTGCTTTTACACTGATAATGAAACCAGGCCAGAGTTCCTTTCCATCTCAGAGGTCAAGGGCCATCCCTGCCTGGCCACACGCATCCAGCCAAGCACTGGGGCGTTCTCTGGGTCAAAGCAGTGTCTTGGTGACCCTAATCCACATAATTGTTTTTGTGGGTTTCTTTCAGTTCAGCTCACCTGATATGAGGTGGAGGCAGCCCATGAGAGTAAAGCTTTCGTGATAGACAGGTGCCTGAAGGGGCACAGCAGGATGTGGGAGGGTGTGACCCTGCTGAACCCAACCCACAGTGGTCTTATCTGTGCCACCGGGCCACGCAATGTCCTCGTGGATGCCAGTGGCCACAGCCCCACACTGTGCTCACAGATATCTTTAAAATACTATGAGAGTTGGCAGCTTAATGGTTATGTTTTCTTCTTGGCTCAATTCTCTTTAACAGTACAGAAAACACCTCTATTCCCAACATCTGCCTCCCATGCTAGGAGAAGGAAACTAGGCGGGGAGTCTATCTTTGCCTTTTTTTTATGAAATTAACCTTTAACATATCGCTTGTTTTGATTCCAGTTTGAAGAGGACATCCTTGATATCTCCCTGGCTATTCTGGATCGGAGCCTGAACCACCGCGAGGAGCCAGCTGTGGATGTCTCCCAGCGGAGCAGCCCTGTCTATGTGAGCAGGGTTATCAGTGCCATGGTAAAGTGATCCAGCACTTACAGCTGGAAATGCACCTCCCAGCAAAACCACAACCCACACTCACGCTTGAGCGTGAATTCCTCAATGTTTTATAGGTGTAGCCAAGCGAAAAATAGCTACAAAATAGGTAAAATGGAGATTCAGTCTTCTTCCCAAAAGTTTGCTCTTGACTGAGGGAACGTTTCCGAGAACTTTTGAGAAACATCAAAACTCGGATGTATTTTCCAAACAGATTTTCAGTCCATTAGATATTTTCACTAATTTGGTCTATTCTGAAATCACCTGCTAAGTTTTTCAAACACCAAGAGAAGCACAAAATATTTTGGAAAACCAGTGCTGGTTCAGCTGCATTTAATGTCTGAACTGAGCATTTTTTACTTAAGGGATGTTTGTTCAGTGAGGTTTTTATTATTTCCTGCAACAAATAGTTACATTTTCTCAGCACACACTCATCCTCACAAACACATAGATGCACAACTTAGGTAGCTGAAAAGTTTTCCATTTTATAAATAATGCATGCCTTATCACATCCCTTAGCTGAGATTCCTCCTTAATAGCTGTGGTCTTTTTCAGCCTTTTGGACAGCACTCACTTGAGGCATTCTCAACAAAAAGTAAATAACTCTAATCAGATGTACAAAATTACTATAACTACAAATAATTAAGAAAAAAAATTTAATAACTTACTGCATCCTGTACCACCACACTGGATACTTAAGCAGGGCTCTACAATGGATGAGCACAAATATATACAACCACACCTAACAGGTTTGGGCAAGCTGTAAGTACTTTGCAACAAATGCACATTCAGAGAAAAGATGGATTTCTCAAGGCTTCCATAAATCACTTGAGAATGTGAAGCAGCATGGATGCACAGTCTAGCAGAGTAATGACATGCAAGGAGGTGAGATCAATAGAGATGAAACAGAGAAAATGTAAACAGGTGTCAGCCGGCACATTTGGGGCCATGAGAACACATTTGGGTACTGAAAACAAGGCAGTTTAGAATCACCAGATTTGCAGTCTGGTCTGGGTTTGATCTTGGGTTTGGTCTTTGAGCAGACAAAATTCTAAAATTCAAATATTCTGTCCCACCACCCAATCAATGAGAACAGTGCTACCCACACAGGATCACTTCTAACTATTTCCCTCTCTCTTTTCCTGTGAATGCTTTAATTCTCTCATGAGAAGGACTCTTTCAGGTTAACAGCAACGATGAGAAAGGAGTAGTGGAGGGGAAGTGGAGCGGGAAGTTCCGCTCGGGAACAAACCCCCTGCGCTGGAGCGGGAGCGTGACCATCCTTCGGAAGTGGTACCGGGCCAGGTACCGACCCGTGCGCTACGGCCAGTGCTGGGTCTTTGCAGGAGTCACCTGCACAGGTACACAGGGAGAGATGGAAATGACACCACAGGGGCAGCTCACTACCAGTTCTGCAGCCTGACTTTGTCACAATACCACTGAAGCTGTTTCAGCTTTGACAGGGAGAGTGAAGAAGCTCTTCTCTCCATGTATGAAGGGTTAATCCTTCAGTTTACAGGTTGTAGTAACTCGTGACAGCTTTGTGAGCAATCAAACAAAAACCAGAGGGGTTTTCCAGGTTGGGCTGGTGAGAAGAGCAAGGTTTCCTGTTTCAAATCTAGGATTCAAAGAAAACCAGTACTCTTTTAAGCCCATCTCCTCACAGTGCCAGTTTTCTACTGCTGTATCTTACTTGCTGGTGACACAAGAACAGGTTACAATTGTGAGGACCTGTAAAGGGAGCTGCAAGTCAAGAAAATCATTGCATCCTAACAGTGTCCACTAAGAGCTGCTCTGAGACACAAGAACCCCTTTGGGGAAAATACAAAGGAAAATTGAGAGGTGTATCTCCATAAGTGGGAAAAAACCCAAGGAATAAACAGAGGAAAATAGGACGAAGAATCAAAGATTAAAATTAATGGGTGAACCAAACACTTATTAAAAAGGACATGACAGCTAAGAATGTTATGTGAATGGAAGTGTCTTTTAAGCAATTTTGCACAATGACTGTGACCTTTGTCATAGCTGGAGGGACATTTCTGAAGGTCTGTTTCACCACTGTAAACATACACTAAACTGTTTGACCAAAAAAACCACTTTTTAAATGTCTGCAAAATCGGTTTACAGGGCTTTTATGGTATTCTGTATTGCAGTATTGAGATGCTTGGGAATACCTACTCGTGTTATTACGAACTTCAACTCTGCCCACGACAAGAACCTAAATCTGAGCATTGATAAGTACATTGACGTGTCTGGAAACAACTTGCATTTGAGTGAAGACAGTGTGTGGTAAATATACATATTTCTTTAATATTCCTTCCATTATATTCCCCACTAATTGAAATATCTAGAGTCATGCTCCTGAAAAACCACCCTGACCTCATCCTCTCAGTGATATAAAACTCCACACCACACCTTTGGCTTTTTGTTCAGGAATGTCCAATATTGAATTATTGACTCTGAAATGAAGTACTTTCCTTTTAACATTTATTTTTCATAACATCCCAACATTTCTCAGCAGTATAACACAAAAAGCTGGCAAAAAAGGGGAAGGAGGTACTCATGCAGGGAGTACAGCAGCTGCTCTCTCTACAGAGGAGTTTTCATTCACTCAATTAGGATTATTTCTTGCACTGTATGAATCAGATATTCTGCATTCTACCTCCCTTCCAGGAATTTCCATGTCTGGAATGAAAGCTGGTTTATTAGAAGAGACCTCGGCTCTTTTTATGATGGATGGCAGGTTCTGGATGCAACCCCCCAGGAAAAAAGCAAAGGTAGCACATGCAAATATAAAACATCTATAGATAGTGTTACTCCTAAAGATTGCCAGGGAAATTTCAGGACAATTCTCTTCTATATATTCCTTGTAGATGTAGCATTAATTTGGGTGCACAAGAAGAGCAATACCCACATCAATCTCCAGCAGGAAGCTTTTCTGTCAGCCTCTGGATTGCTGACCAATATAACAATTCTTCCTTTTTTAATTTCAATTCTCTGCCTCCAAAAAATCCAGCACATCTTAAGTTCATTTATCTTACCCTTGTTTATCTTAGCTCCTCACATCACACAGTCCCATTCCTCACTACCAGGTTTAACAAATTCAGTTTCTGGGTTCTTCTCAATGCACAACCAGCACTGTTGATTCCCATCTCTTCAGTCTGGCTGTACTCCTGACTGGGCTCCCATCCCTCACATCCTCTCCTCTCCTTTCAGCTGACAGCTTTGCCTTGCAGCCTTTGGTGGGTGAGAGCATTTCTCATGGCACACATCATCAGGAGCTTTAGCTCTCCCTACCAGCCTCCTCTGCAGCCCCACCTTTTGACAGAAAGTACATGTGGAATCTCTGGACATGCTGTTACCACCTTACACAGACATGAAAACAGAGTACTTGACCCAAATGTGTCTTTGTAGTGAGTGAGCCTCTCCCTCTTGCTGTCAACATGAGGATTTATGTTGTTCAACTTCTCCCTCTCTAATACAGGCATCTATCAGTGTGGTCCTGCCTCCACCAGAGCCATTAAAGAAGGGGATGTGAACCTGGATTATGACAGCCCATTTGTGTTTGCAGCAGTGAATGCTGACTGTGTTACTTGGATTCGCTATAGCAAGAAAAGAAAAGAGAGAATTTATTCTGATACCAGGAAGATTGGGAAATTTATCAGCACCAAAGCAGTGGGCACCAACTCCCGTGTGGATGTCACTGCCAATTACAAATACCCAGAAGGTAAATTCTTTATTACAGTAGTTTTGCCACTGATGATCAGATGTGAAAAGAATTTAGGCCTTTGTTGGACTGAGCACTGATTTAATTTCTTTACATCTAGAGTCAAGTAATTGTGAATTTTCAAAGTCTTAGGGCTCCTTATCTGCTGATGCTGATTCAATTGAAACAACAGCCATTCTGGAGTGCTGTTTGGGGAGAATTTCTGCAAAAGGGTTTTCTTACCCTTCTCAGTTTCAGAGGAGATGGTAACAGCCCCACCTTATGCAGAATTACCTTTTTATTGCTCACAGCTTCTCAGAGGAGGCCATGAACAGCCACCTGGAGCTGATGGGCAGGTTTTACTGTCCAGCCTTCGTGGCCATGTACATTCATTTGTTTTTGTGACAAAATACATGTTAAGGTTAGACCTCATTTTCTCCTCTGAGTATCTTTGCCCTTCTCAGCTTCCCTAAATTTCTGAGATCAGCCATGGCTCCACTGCACTATACCCAGTACATGCACAAGATCTCTGATCATGGTATCTTTCAATGCAGGATCCTCAAAAGAAAGGCAGGTGTACAAGAAGGCACTGAACCTGCTTGGTGTGAGAAGACCTGGAAAAAGAACCAAAGTTCCAAGACCCAGAAGACGATTTTCAAGGGCACAGCCTGCAGAAACCCCCGGCATCTCGGGGAAGCTGCTCCTTGATGCATCTCCTGTGATTGGCCAGGACATCCTCCTTACCCTGACACTCAGAAACTCGACCTCAGATTTTAAGACCATAAAGGTTAAACTGAAGGCTTCAGCCATTCTCTACACCAGAAAACCCAAGGCAGAGATTTTGCAGTTGCATAGGTCTGTTAAACTTGGATCTGAGGAAGGTAATTTTAATTTTATTACAGCTTTTATTACTGGACAAGACAGTTGTAGGTTGTGGTCAGATCACATGAAAATAAAGAATGGCTCAAGAAATGTATGACCTGCAAACAGTTGGAGGTCAAAGCTATTCAGGGGAAAAGAAACACATATATTTTCCCTATCTTAAGCATTTGCTTTCAGGCACTGACAAAAAGGAGACTAAGCAGGGTGAATTTTTGTCTGACCCAGCACAGCCACTGCTGGTGCTACCTTGTGACCTTTTTTGCTAAGAGAGAACAACTAAGAGACACACACTGGAGATTAGTGAGCTGCTAGCTCACTAGCAAAGCATAAAGACAGACTAAAGGGGGAAAGCCAAGCTTAAGACTCTGACAGCAGCAACTGCAGGAAGGGCTGTGCCACCTGCAGAGAGTGGTCTCTGCCCTGCTTTTATAGGGACAGTGCTGAAAAATGAGAGGTAGCACAGATGAGCAGAAATACCATCTCAAGCTAAAACATAACACATCAGAACTCATCCCACAGTTTCAGCAGTGGAACTCTTTTTTCTCAGTACACTGAGTTCCACTGCCTTCCTCACTGGCACAGAGACTCTGATTGTGCAAGGCAGAGGCTGGACAGCTGCATTTAAACCAACCCACCTTCTGACCTCTGCCCTCTTTGCAAGGAAGGAGCAATAAATTCCAGCTTCAGATAAATGAAAAATCACCAGCAGGTGTTGCCACATCCATCCATCCTTGGATCTGTCCTGGTACCAAACTGTACCTGACCATTTAGTGGTTTATGTAAATATAAGTAGAAGTCACCCATGAGCATCATTCCAGTCTGTTGGTGCAGCCCCAGGGTGATAAGAGTATTGCTCCTTAAAACACAGGTATCTTACAGGTACTCAGGTACAGGTATCTTATCTTGTACTCAGAAAAAGGAAGAGAGGGAAATTTTGTTTCTGTTTCCGTTCCAGTGAAAGAGATTTCTTTCAAGATCTCCTATTCCCAGTACAAAAACTCTCTGATGGATGACAGGAAGATCCTAGTGACTGCTGTGTGTCAACTCAAACAGGGAGCCTCACTTCTAGTTGAGAAGGATATTGTACTCCAGGATCCTTTTCTCACCATCAAGGTAAAAGCTAGTCCCTTCTGTGACCCTTGAGAGATGTGCTGAGAAGCAGAAACTAGAATTCCCACTCCATCTGTTCCTCATGGGAAGAGTATGGGAAGTGAAATCATGTCTGAGGGTGACTGGATCTTGTTGCTGTGGTCATACGATACAAATGAAATTTGTAATATGAAATACACTAAAAAGAGGCAAATCTTTCCATGGCATAGCTGTGCTGGGATATTTTTGCTGATGCTTATTAATGTGGCACTGATTAAGTTCTCAGTGTTACAACAGTTACAAGGTAAGTGTACCTAAGGAGGGACAGGCAGAATACAGATGGACAAATCTCATCCATATTTAGACCTCTCCTTTTGTTAGAAAAGTCTGATCAATATCTTCCAGTTTATTTAGGAAGATTGATGTTTATCAAAGACACCTCCACTGACCAGCTGATTATAACTGTGAGGGCTGTGAGTCTATTACCAATATTGGAAGAAAGGTCTTTAACTGTATCAAATGAGTGTCACTTTTCACCTTCTGCAACACTGCCCAAGTGATTAATTAGGACTGGAGGCTTTCTCTTTCTTGCACTTTTAACTGACTTTTGACAAATATCATACAATGAATAAAAAGAAGTTCTTAGTCCACAGGAAAGATCCTGCACTGTGTTTGCCCAGGGACAGTCCTGGCTTTGCACGGCCCATCACATCCACATAAAGGAGATGAACTGGTTTTGGACACCAGATTTAAATACTGTATAACACATGGGATCAAATGCTATCTGCTCATCTTACTGTAAATAACATAGAGGCAATATGGTAATGTGGGAATGTGCAAAGTCCTTCAGGGCCTCCAGACTAGATTAGCTGTCCCAAACCACTCTGCCAGTGGCATACAAGAAAAGTAAGGGCACACACAGGAGTAAAAAGTGTGGTTTTTTGCAGGTCTGGCAATTTCTGAATACCAAGTTCTAGTGAGACTTCATAAAAAATCTTTGTGCTGTGCCATGCAAATAACAGAGTCAGTTTATGTAGGGAAGGCACCTGGATTAAATATCTTTAGTGATTAAGTTTTAAGAAACATTTATGTTTCTGTTGGTTGAAACTTCCCTATAAACATGGAGACAGTAACAGAGAAATGCAATTGGGCTGATGGACTTCTCGATTGTGTTAACTAATATTACATTATTTACAAATATATACCACATGTACCAATTCCACATTATCTCAGCCAAAATAAGGTAATGAATATGTTTATTTGCTAATTTGCATTCTTTTCTCTGAGACACCACAATTCACCTCTGTCTCACACCTCCCATGTCCTCCAGCTCCAAACCTTTCATTTAGCCTAGTTAAAGGTAATTTAAGGTACCTCCAGTAGTTAACCATATATGCCAATACTTGCATTCTCATTCTGTTCTCACTCTGATGAGTATCTACTGACCTAGTTAAAAAGGAGATTAAATGGTAGATTCTCCAGTAGTTTGCTGACTCTTAGCCACACTGAATGGCTCACTCAAGGCTGAACTCTGTTGCCCAGAACTATGTACACGAACTAATTCCTGGCTCCTCCCTGCCCAGGTGATCCTAAGAGGGTAAGTGGTTTGCAGTGGGAATGGAAGGAGAGAAGCTATAGGAAGACATGAGACTGATGCTGTGGCTGAGCAGAATGTTTTCTGTCTGTAGGTCCTGGGTGCAGCTGTGGTGCACAAGCCTGTCAGCGTGGAGGTGACATTTACCAACCCTCTGTCTGAGGAGGTGACAGACTGTGTCCTGAGAGCTGAAGGCAGTGGCCTGCTCAAAGAGCAGCTCCGAATCCAGTACGTAAATGCTTCTGGCTGGTAACTCGTTCACTTTGGTGGGAAATCTGGAGTACCAGTGGGTTTTTAAAAAGATTCTGTCAACCTCATGACTTTCATTTGCATCAGCCTCGGACAAAATGCCACCATGTCCCGACTCTCCCTACAGCAGATGGAGTTTTTGCACCTCTTTTACCAAGGTTTGAATTACAGAATGCTCAGGGAGTGGAGAGATGGCATACAGTCTTAAATTTGAGTACTCAGAAGAATACATAGCAAGAATCTTTCAGCTGCTTTAACTTACAAATGCATTCTCTCTTTTAGTGTGGAAAGAATGGCCCCCATGGAGACTTCAACAGTGGAATTTGAAATCATTCCCTACAGGAGTGGCACCAGGCAGCTTCAGGTGGACTTGGTTTGCACCCACTTTTCAGACATTAAGGGATTTGTGATGCTCCATGTGGCTCCTGCTCAGTGATATAACCTGTACAACAGTTCAGTTTTGCCTGGTTATGAGGTGGTGCAGTGCTCATGCGTTCTCATGACTGGAAGCACAGAAATGCAGATTACTCAGCCAAAATAAAGTGATGTAATATGAACGGGAACTAATAAAAAGGTACCACAGACTATACTGTAAAGACAGTGTCACCCTTCTCATTCTCCAGCCTGTTTTATGGGCCTTCACACATACAATTACTAGTGGGAATCATTATATAATTTAACTTGAAGGACAGGATCAAGTGGTTTTCAGCATTAGAGCCTGTAGCAATAATAGCAGCTGGATTTCCAAGGAACATAATTTAAAATCACTGGTTTTATAAGCTTCATGGAATGCAATTTAATTATCACAGAATGATAAAATGGTTTGAGTTGGAAAGAGTTTTAGAGCTCATCTTGTTTCAGCTGCCTGCCATGGGCAGGGACACCTTCCACTACCCCAGGCTGCTCAGAGCCCTGTCCAACCTGGCCTTGAATACTTCCAGGGTTGGGGCAGCCACAGCTGCTCTGGGCACCCTGTGCCAAGGCCTCAGCACCCTCACAGGAAAGAATTTCTTCCTCTTATCCAATCTAAACCCATCCTCCTCCATCTTAAGGCCAGTCCCTCATGCCCAGTCTCCCTATTACCTTGTGAAAAGTCCCTCTCCATCCTCCTTGTAAGCCCCTTTTAGGCACTGGAAGGGGCTCTAAAGTGTCCCTGAAACCTTCTCTTCTCCAGGCTTATATCCACTAAATATGTTTTATTCTGTAGGAGCCAAACTACTATCCAAGTAGCGGACATAATTAAATACTAGAATTAAATTTATCATTTCATCTTACTGCCAGAAAGAAAATACAGCAATAAGATATGGCAGTGTTACAACAGAACTCTCTTCTTATGACTGGAAAAATGAGAAGCTACAAAAATGTAGAAAAAGCAGAAAAGTAAGGGCATCAGAAAGACATATGAAAATTCACAATTAACAGTCACTCAGCCCACAAAGCTGCTTAAAGCAGATCCTCATTCATGAGGGAGGCATTGTGCCACCCATATCTAAATCCCTAATGTGTCCATTCACTCCTTGCAGAGTTAACAAGCCAATATAACAAAGCTCTGAATGCTTCTAAGAGACAATTTGACTTTTTCCTCCTGACAGACAGTAATGTCCAGCAAAGCAGGACAAGCTTCCCCAGAAAGAATGTCCCATGCACACAAAGTGACCCTGTGACACAGATTAAACTGAAGACTCATTTAAATATTTCTTTGATTTACAGCCAACAAAAATCTTCAAAACATATGAAGTCCCATTTTATTACATCAATTACAATATTTTGCCACCCACACATATACTTACAGTGGATGTGGAAGCTTGGTAAAACTAGTCAGCCCAGAGAAACTGGAATGAAGGTTGAAAAGGACACACACACACAGGAATTCAGATTTCTCCAGGCAAAGGAGAGGGGAATAGGTAGCTTTGCACCTATCAATTAAGTCTTGCAAGATCTTGGAGAGCCAGGGTATACAATCCTCCACTAGCCTCAGAAAAGGCCTTGAGGTAGTGATGGTATTTCAGAAAATCTTATTAAATCTTGCAAGAATGCAGACTGACATTACATTTAACACACAGTACAGCCAAAACATACAAATTCCTTCAGTATTCCCTCTTAAATACAATCCAGGCAATTATTTCAGACAGTGTTTGTCACACGAGCTTGGAATGACCTCATCCTAATTAACAACCTGTAAAGGAAGGCTGCAGTTCAAAGGGAAAGCGGCGCTGCAGAGCCTGGGCCAGGTTCCCAGCTTTGCAACACTCGCTGGCTTTTCACAGTGTCAGCATTTTCATCTGCCCTCAGCAACCACACCCAGCTCAATCCGAGTGTGAAAATGCAGATCTGGCCAGTGCCATGCAGGAGAAACATTCTTCCTGCATGAGAAGTGAGACAACTGTTCAATTACGCTAATGTTTATTACAGAGAAAAACATGTAAGTGCCCGAGGAAGGATTTAAATTGCTTTTGTCAAACCTACAATCTTTACACAGCCCTTGGTCAGAAGTTAGTGGGAGTCGGTGAAGTAAAATATGTCTAATTGTCAGTATTTCTCTTTATAAATATGCAGCTTAAATAGGAGCATGCCCAAGAGGCTGACCCCGCCAGCCCCCATTCCAGTCTGATCACTCAAAAAAAAATCCAATGAGCACTCGCTGATACAACACATTCACACCATAAATTGTCTTGAAACACACTGAAATCAGCCTACAGGGTTCTCCCCATCGTTCTGTTCTTCTAAGCTTCTCGATTCAGATTTTAAAAAAATCAAAATCAACCAGAAATAGCCAAAGTTGCTGGTTTCAAATCACATTTTTCTGCCAACAAAGCCTCACTGCTTTACCTGGTCTGTCACTCTCCTGTACTGAATGTGGAGGGCACCGCTCTCTGTAAAGGACAAACCCAAAGGCACACAGTGTAAGCATTTCTTGTTGCTCTAAAGCAACAAAAAATTCCCCTCAAAATGAAAATTCCCATCTAATTCATGGGTATGCCATATCAAAGCTGGAAATGTAGACACACTCAAAGAGTGTATGTAATTCTTGATCACTACATTTAGAGAGAGACAGTTATTAAAGATGCTCACAAAACAGTTTAAGCTTCTTTTTTAAAGGTAATAAAGTTTTTATGGATTTATGTCTGGACCTGTAAAACAAGTATCCCTACACACTAAAAGATAATAAAATAAGATCCAGGCAGGATGGACACTTGCAAGGATCTTATGGATTACTTTTCCTCAGGATTTCTAGGAACATGTCAGGGATGCAGTGGATAGAGAAGTGACAAAACCAATTAAGTTTAACAAAGGCAAGTGCTGGATTCTGCACCTGGGACAGGGCAGCCCTGGGTGTAGGGACAGCCTGGGGACAGGGACCCCATTCTCACCCGAAGAATGCCAGTACAAACATTTGTTTGCTACATGCAGAAGTCTCTTTTGTGTGTTAACCCTCTCCATGGGTTTTTTAAGCCCATTTCAGTGTTATGAAAGATACAAAGGGACAATAAGTATGCCTCTTTTCAGAGCTGAAGCACATCCTACTCAGGAAATCCTACTTGCAGTTGCCAATTTGACCAAGAGATGGTACTGTGTGTACACACAGCCATTAGAAGGCAGTGATGATGGGATAGATACTTCCCTGTATCTAAACCACTCTGTTTAGAGGTTCAAAACTCATACATATACTGCACAGGTGCATTTAAGAACATTGATCATGCAAAGAAAATCGAAAATTTGAGCACAATCAGTTGATTTACAATTTACTTAGACTGAAACTGGACTATATTATGTAATCAACTTCACAAATTATTCTTGAGTTTGTTGGAGATCATGGGTGTCTGCAAAACTATTGATGACTCACTCCACAGTGAAAGCTGTTCACTTCTGATAACTTATTTCCTGTCTTTTGAGCAATTATTATCAACCCAGTGCCATTCCTTTTCTATTACAGAAATTTTAAGAATGTATTTAGTCCAAGCCTCCAGCACAATAATTTTAAATAATCTGCATTAAGTTACACGAATTTAGTTGTTTCTTTTAGCACATTTTCTCATTTTTAAGTGGTTTTACTTTTCTGAATTAGGCACAAGAGCAATGGATTTACTGACTGTATTTTTTAACTCCTTGAAGGGTGCACTCTGTGCCTTGTTTAGAGCCATGTAAAGATTTACACTTCCTACTCTGGGGTCCTCAGTGCACGGCTCCTTGAAGAAATTGTCACTGGCTGTCTCTAAATGCTTTGCATCCCACTGTGGAACTTCACCTCATCTGTAGCCTGTCCTCAGTGTGGTCTGAGAGATAAAAGAGTCCTCAACATCTGCACACCAGATAAGCAGGAAAGGTGGCAGCACCACGTCCCACCCTGTACAAAGAAATCAAGCAAACAACTCTGCAAGAGGACAGTTTTTAAGACAGCTGGAGGAAGGAGCCACTGCCCACCAGAGCAAGCAGAAGCTGAGTATTTTCATGGTACCTGGAACCAGCCATGGGCCAAGGTAAACAAAAATAATTTTTATTAGTTCCAAGCATTTGCCAGCTGTGTGTAAGGAAGAGGCAACTGTTCTTGCTCCAAGACATAGCTCATGAGGCCTGTGGAAGAGCTGAGCTTGCAGGGCAGGAGCCAAGTGCTCCAAAGGCTTAGGGAGCTCAGTTTGCAGTTTGTGCAGACTGCACAAAAAGGCACAGCAATCAAAAGCTGGTATTGATGTCTGAGAGGAGTCTGAGAAGCAGCAAGAAGCAGCTAAGGCAGACAGGTGAGAGTCTGCAAGCAAAGGTAAGTGAATCCTCAGCACAGGGAATGGGAGGGGTGGGAGGAATTAAGCAACAACTGAAACAGAGACCAAGTGCTTGAGCCCCTGGAGCAGGGAAACAGTCCAGGTTCCAGGCAACCTTGAAGAAAGGTGACAGTAAGGTCCATGAAAAGTCATTTGATGGAGAGGGAGCCAGACTCCACATCACTCACTATTCTTTAAGATAGACAGAACAGACATCTTCATCACAGAGAAGAAAATAGATGAGGTCAGAGCTGGCTCCATAAGGCCTGAACTGGTGCAGGGCTTTGAACGGGGACAGCCATGATAGGATTTGAAAGCTGGACCAGAATCATTCACTGAAAACAAAATTTATATGGGGAAAAGAGAAACAAAGCACACAATCCAGTAAGAGTCACCAAGAAACACAGAAGGGACAACCACAATGGGAGAAGGTATCAATGCAGAGGATAAGACAGGACAAGACGTCAGGAGAGAGTGAAATCTGCAAAGACAGCAGCTATGGCTTTAGCACAGGAGCAATCAATTTAGATAGCATAGAAATGCTCCATGGATTTTAATTATTTTTAGCTGCAACAGAGGGAGAAGTACGAGTCAGCAAGGGGAGGTGGGTGACAGCACATGTCACATAAGGGGCAGCAGTTAGAACCCACAGGGCCAGGGATCTTAGTGATGAGCTACA